ATTACAAAGGTGAGAAAGATAGCTTTTTCCCCTTACTAACCAATGTTCCTAAAAATCAGAATTCAACAAGATTTGTTCTGATGTAACATTTAGAGCAGGGGTAGTCAACCTTTTTATACCTACCGCCCACTTTTGTATCTCTGTTAGTAACATTTTCTAACCTCCCACCAGGTCCACAGTAATGGTGATTTCTAAAGTAGGGAAGTAACTTTACTTTATAAAATTTATAAAGCAGAGTTACAGCAACCCCCTCCCGCCCACCATGAAAGCTGGAACACCCACTAGTGGGCGGTAGGGACCAGGTTAACTACCACTGNGAAAGCTGGAACACCCACTAGTGGGCGGTAGGGACCAGGTTAACTACCACTGATGTAGAGGATCACAGGTGGTTCTATCATGGTGTAGAATAGAAAATTCTTAAATACCCTCAATTAGTTATGGCTAAACTACTTTTGCCGTTTTTAACTGTTCTAAATTAGGGATGGTTGAACACACAAAGATTAACATTTGCTTTCACAATTTTGATTGCTGTAGAAATGCTAAAATGGCACAAAATGTCACACTACTAGAAAAATACTTGGATTTATTTACAAACAAATTAACATTTTTTCTGTATATCTTCCTCTTTTGGACTTATATTTATCTGAGAGGCACTTAACTGCAGTATCTCTAATTTACAAAATTTTGTTTGCAATTTAATTGTCATTTTTCACAAAGCTATTGTAGGGCAGATAAACGTTTTTTCTCCTTGTACCCAAGACATCCTTTGGTTAATTATATTTTTAAAAATGCTTGTTAGCTGAAATAATGATTATCACAGGTGCGTGGCTTGCATCTTCCACCTTTCCATTTAATTTTTTTTTAACTTTTATATTATGTGTTTCTTTTAATTGTTGTACGCAGCCCTGAGTCCTTGGGAGAAGGGCGGCATATAAATCTAATAAATCTCAATCTCTTTGGACTGTAGCAAAGCTCAGATTTTTCAAGGGCTAGAGCAGCGGTTCCCAAACTTGGCAACTTTAAGACTTGTGGACTTCAACTCCCAGAATTCTCCAGCCAGCAGGAGTTCTCCAGCAGGCTGGAGAATTCTGGGAGTTGAAGTCCACAAGTCTTAAAGTTGCCAAGTTTGGGAACCACTGGGCTAGAGGACTAACAACCAAGCGCTTTCACTGAATTAATTAGAAGCATTTTTACCCTATGGGCTAATGACTAATGGATTAGCACTGATGATGTTACCTAGTTTGGGTAATGAACCCTTTGCAAGAAACCAGCCAAGCTCAAGGATTCCCTCATGGAGTAATGAGTTTGCAAAAGTCTCAGATCTTGAGCTAATTACCATGTCTATCATCTCCAACTAAGAAGAGACCCCACAAGGCCTCTCCTGTTTCTAGTAATCTCATCTGCATTCTTTAAAAAGGCAATTTCCAGGAATTGAGCAAGGCAATTAGAACTGGCTTAGAAGGACAGTCCTACTTATTTCACTTTTCAAGTTAAAAATAACCATAACAAAACCGTCCAACATATTAACACTTCAAAAAAAATAATACTCATTGGGAACTTTTTTTTTTTTAAATTGCTTTTGAAAGTAATCTCAAGGGTAATATTACTTAACACTGATCATCTAACCAATGTGTGTAATCAGATGTGTTGGGCAGGGTAGAATTTGAAGAGCAAAAACAAATTCCTTTCCTAGAAGCCTTCAATTCACATCCCCATGTGTGTGTGTGTGTGTATATATATATATATATATA